ATGGAAATTCATAACTCGTGACACCAAGGCAATATCTATACTTCACAGAACTCCCCAACCACCAACAGTGCCAGAAGAAGCAGATCCAAGCCCAACCCATCATGTCCGCCACCACTGCCTAAACCTGAAGGAAGTGTTCCACCCCAAACCAAACGACTACACCTGGTCTAGAAGCCACGGGGCATGTGCGTGTGGGGGCATTGGGTACCACCCAGTTATCAGTTCCTGTTCAGAACTCCAGATTCAGGATAATCAGGATGCCATTCCGGCCCGTTCCAAGTCCGCCACCACACAGGTCAAAGACACCGCCGTGACCTCAGGGGGCTTGCCAGACTGCCGCTATTCCGTGATGGGTAATTTCAACCAGGGAACAGTTGCAGGAATCGTTGGCCCGTAAGTATCACCTAGATATTACTTGTAGTATAGAATATGTAGGGGTGAAGCTTTCTTTAAGAAAAATGAATTTTACCTCGCGAAAAGGTGTATAATTATATATGGACAATCTGAAATCTGTTTGCATTATTTTTATGAAAATAGTTCGGATGAAATTTTGTTGGGTAGAGCCAAGGGCGGATACAAATAGATTTACACGTTTGGATAGATATGTCAAAATTATTTTAAATATTCATTTTATAGTTTCCTGTGACTCTTTTCGACATCAACAATCCTACTTTGTAGCCAATCTCATTAAAATCAGATCTTAGTTCTCGCTACTGTTAAAGAAAGATCTGAGGGCATAACATTGCGGGTCATGTCAGACCGACCTCTCATCTGACCAATCAGAGCATCCCTTATCAGATCATGAAAGTGACAGTTGGAATGCGATTTTTGATCGTGCAACCTCGAAAAATACCACACAGGGTATTCCGAACGACGGTTATGGGCTTTGTGTCTGTATTCATACAATCTAGACCATCTATTAGCCATTCCAGATGTTCTTTTGTTCAGTTTTATATTTTTTTAATCGAGTGTATGTCAAAATATGTTTGGAAGCGTAGTCGCCAGTTTGAAACTCGTGCGTAAAACTACATTAAGCTGCATTCTGACTGGCTTTGTCGACTTCTTGTTAGTCATTCCATTTGGTCGGTCAAAGTTCGCGAAAGGTCGGCCTGACGTGACCCGTAATGAGATGTCCTCAGATCTTTGTTTAGCGGTAGCGAGAACTAAGATCTACTTTTAATGAGATTGACTTTGTGGCGGTCATTCTTTCTGTATGAAACAATTCATCAATCAGAAACTGAGTCAGTCTCTGTTCTTGTCCTAAGCATGTACATCCGCGAGTAAAATCGGTAAGCAACAAATGTCTTCATACAGTATTGTTCTCTTCCAGGGCTGAGAATGCAGGCACACAGTGTACAAGCATGGCATATACCGCTGTTGTGGCAAGTGCCGTCTCCCCTGTGGGAATGTGGTCCAGCTATACACTAGATAGCATCTTACAGCTCGGGGATCAGCTCCATGAACAAATTCTCACAAACATGGGGAACAACGCACCAGAGAGCAGGTATCTGGCTTTCGATGAACTGCCTCGCAAACCAAGAATTGGCATTTACAGATGGCCAGTCAAATGCACGTTCGGACCGGAGCGCCAGGGTGTCATATCGGCAAAGGGAGACCACAATACTGAAATAGAAAGACAATTAAAGGAGACCTTCGAAGAAGGATGCACAGGCTGTCTGATGACCTTTGATGGCATGACTTCGGCTGTGTTGCAGAACAAGAACGAAACCTATTCAGTCTTTGACAGCCATGGACGGAATATCATAGGAGCTATTGACGGCGAGGGTCAGGCTAGCCTGCTGAGGTTCACCAGCCTAACTGATGTAGCGAAGCACGTTTCAGGCCAGGCAAGAGACGTCAGCCTGTATGGGTTGATGGGCGTCAAAGTCAAGCCTAGGGACATGCGCTGAGCAGGATGTCAGCTGTTGTTCCCGGCGTCCAGTACTACAATCACGGACGCAAGCCTCAATCCCAGTCTCCCTGAGTCCAGTCACACCTGCTCCAGTCCGAGAGCTGCCTTGGCCCTTTTGTCATCAGTCCTAGGGGCACCCTGCCATCTACTGCCATCACACATAATGACCCTTTGATGGATATTGCCATCAGACCTAAGGACCCTTTTCTTTGGTAGGGTCTGTTATCAGACCTAAGGACCCTTTGGCACCTACTGCCATCAGACCCAAGGACCCCTTGGTAGTGTCTATCATCCGACTTATGGTCCCCTGTTATCTAGTGCCATCAGACCTAAGGACCTCCCTGTACTGTCTCCCATGAAATCTACCGCCATGATCCTTAGCCTCCATTTTCAAATGGATATCCATACCACGTTGTATTTACAAGCATTTGGTGCAATAAGGAGTCATGTTGTAACTTCTGGTGTTTATGCCATTGTCATCCATGTTTAATACTCAACTGTCTGGAACATGTCGCACCATTGTCATTATAATTTTTATTTAGTGCTACTGAAGCCATCATCAACCATAGTTTGTTGGCACATTAAACTGTGATGTTATTATAGCCAAACTGTCTCTGTACAATACATGTCATCTGAATACCAATATACGCATTGGAATGTTTTAGTCTTTAAAGCTTTATGCGTATTGTGTTCGTACAGTCATAATGATGTTGAAGATACCATTATGACACACGGTGACTTCGTACAATGATATTAAAGCCATGACATGTTGGTAACATTATAAGCTATGATTTCTTGGTGCAATAGTATGCCATGGCGTCTTGTACCATTGTAAGTCACATATTGGTACTATTATTTGGCAAGATGTGTTTAAATGTTTTATTTTGCAACATAACAGCTGCACTTGCAATAGTAGCTAGGTTCATTTGTGTTTATTTGTTTATTCGCTCACTTGAATATGTATTGGTTTGTTTTTATACACAATCTCTTATAAAAAATATTTAATACGTTTTACATAAAGTTAATTCATTTTTCCTTCATTAGAATATATGTATTCATACCAAAAAAAACTAATATCGTTCGTATTATTTTGTAAGATATGTCATATACCTTCTAAATATTTTATTCTTACTACTATATATAATGTATCTGTTGTTTAATAAATACTATATATAATGTATCTGTTGTTTAATAAATACACTATAGTATATCCTTTTGCGAATTTCGAGTGTATCTTTTTAATTTACATAAAATGCATTTCGGCCAGTACACCTACAGTTTCGCCGTGAGACCTCCAGTGTGTTACCGGACGCCCTGTTTGTGTATGGGCGACATACCTATTCGTATCCCTGGGAACAGCAGTTACTGACACGGACACATACTCTTACCATTTAAAAATAAATTGACCGCCTCCGTGGTGCAATGGGTGGAGTGTCTGCCCGGAGAATGGAAGGGTCGCTCACATGTTCGACTTACCTCCCTTACACTTCCAGTGGCGGGTGTTGGCCCTGACCATTAACAATTACGGGTGGCTGAGAATTGGTCTCGGTGTGAAACTGGCACTGGCAGAAGGTCGTTGGATCCGGCGTTTATTCGTGGATTTACGGCTCCACGTAGGACTTCACTGTAAACGCTAGTTTGCTCTTCACGCCGAAGACCCGGGTTCGATTTCCGACATGAGTACAATGTGTTGAGCCCAGTTCGAGTGTGCCCCGCCTTGATATTGCTGGAATATTGCTAAAAGCGGCGTAAAATCATTCTCAACCAACATATCTACATACATACATGCATATACACATAAACGCATGCATGCACGCATGAACGAATACAGCATGGTGTTTTACTAATAAAGTACTAGTTTCCTAGAACATGTTTAAATACAAGAATGCAACTACGGCCAATGTAAACCAAAATATATTCACATCACGTTGTTAATGAAAAAAAAGTGTAATATGCATATCATGGAGGGAGTCATTAAAGTTATTGTGAAATATAATAGTGTACCATTATCAGCTGCTGATGTTAACGAGTGGTCACCAATATAGCCTGGAATGTGTAGTGTGTCTACCTGCACGTAGCCCTTTCCTAGTATGCACACTCATGTTTGATTATTCATTTCAATTTGGAAAAACATTAATTAAAAACTGGCATCATCCTAATTTCAGTAGTCAACAAACAGAGACATCGGGCCGTGGAGAGGAGCTCGAGGATACGCTTAAATAACATCATAAACTGTACCAAAACTTTCCGAAAATATACATAGAGAATCTCACCCGAGCGTCTTTTGATATCAAATATATCAACACGAGTTGATAAAAGTGGAAAAACTCCGAGGCTTGCCGAGCAATAATATTTTCATAAATTATACAACCCCTCAATTTTCTTATTTCCTAAACTATGAGAACCTTCAAGTTCCGCGTTACACATTCATAGCGCTGTTATTTTATCTGATAAAAAAATGGATGAACTAAATATGTGAATATATATATTCATGCATTTATATATAGAATTAACTTTTATTGAAATTTAAAGCCTCGTGCGTGTGGGCTTCTATAGCATTATAGATAGTTTAAAAAATCTTCAAAGTCTTGGAAATGGGCGGTTTAAAATTTTTAATCACAGCTGTACACACACATTTTTTTTATTGACTCCGTGGCATACATGGGTCAATAAAGAAGCACATTTTGTGTGCAACTACGTATTCCTGTGCTTTAATAGAAATTAAAAGGAAAAAATGCCCCATGCAAAAATGGCTCAGACATTTTGGAGAAATAGGCCCCAAATGTTAGTGGAAATTTCTGCAAATTTTGGAAATAAATACATCATGTTTTGGAGAAAATGCCCCCCAACATGGCATTTTTCTCCAAAATGCCATTCTTGCATGGGGCAATTTTCTCCAGCGCCCGAAATGAAACTTTGATGGGCTACAGAGACGCGTACAGTAGCGGACCCTCTCACACAAGGACTTTTATTTCAACATTTCTGTAATTAACTCATTTGAATTGCACTGTGACATATAATGAAAAACAGTTACAATTGAACTGATAACAATAAAGGTAACAGGTTTTTACTGACAGTGAGCGCTGAACCCTGGAAGCGTCATGTACACAGGGGCAGGTAACTCTAAACTACGGTCACTCGACCGGTGTGGGCTGTTACTATCAACATGGTGTTTGAGGTGGGCATGTTTAGATGTGTTTTGTGCAACTGATAGATTAAGCTTTGTCCGAATTATTTGTTTTGCCGTCTTTGAAAAGGTTTATTGTATATTCAAGAGAATGATTAAAACTGCAGTCCGTTTTGTGATTAGCTTTTTCGGGTTTTTGCTTCATAACTCAAGGTGCAAAGTTCATCATTATCACAAGATACATTGCATACTGACGCTATGTGTATTGCTGTGAATGCCCAGTCGCTGATAAATGTAGATATTAGACAATGACATGCCGGTGAATTCTTAAAGGAGATATTTTTATATGGTCACATTCTCACGCTGACCATATGCATTTGTTTATTTACGTGACTTCAACCTTTGAATAATGGTTCTTTTGTGAATTGTCCTAACAGTAAACAGCTTTTGTCACTTATCACTTTATGAGGTAGTGCATATGTCATGAAGTGACTAATAATACTTTTATATATTTATTTTGATGAGCATGGCAACTTAGAACAGGGTGTCGCTATAAGTTTGATATAGACTACCAGCATACAATGGAAAACCTATAGCTATATCATGGGTTTAGTCCATCAAGGACGTCGTACTACTGCAGCATCCAAACTATTAATTTATCTATACCAGAACTTAATAAAGCAATTTATTCAACATACATGTGAAAAACAATCAAATTGACTTACAGGATAGATGAATGCAAGTAGAGGTGGACTTTGTAGTCAAACTATAAGTGTGAGAGGAATCGATCCATGCAAATGGCAGAAAAGATGACCCTATCACACTACAGAGCCGTGTCCAATAGTCTGTGAGGATCTGCTAGAGGTTCTGATCCCATATTAATCACAGTTAGATTCTAGGCCTGAAAACACCTTGCTCATCATGCTCATAGAATGTTTGTTGTTTAACGCTGCACTCAGCAATATTCCAGCTATATGACGGCGGTCTGTAAATAATCGAGTATGGACCAGACAATCCAGTAATTGACATCATGAAAATCGATCTACTCAGTTGGGATACAATGACATGCATGAACCAAGTCAGTGCGCCTGACCTTGGGCCCGATAGTCACCTCTTACAGCAAGCATGGGTTTACAATCTGCATCTGTGCATGACACTGAGTTTTCCCTCCTCATCAAACATTATGTTCTTGATGTCATGTTACGTGTCTACCAAAGAACACCAGGAGAGAGCTACCAAACTGTGGAATATGTAGTTATGTACACACTTTGAATAGATATAGCCACACAAATTACAAAGACACAACCCCCCCTAAAATTTGCCTCGTAATGATAAGAACCTAGAACATTTTCCGTGGGACCAAACACAGTTAATCATACAGATGGAACCAGATGTTGCAACCTGCGTTATTTATTGTATTTGGCTCCATTGAAAATGTTGAACCAATTTCCAACAGTAGATCTATATAACAGCAGGATATCAGTCATGCACTTTGTATGTTCATGGCTATCGTTTGGGATTAAAAGGTTTTCATTTTTGAATTATTTTTTTCAGGTCCGGATTACCGACGCTAGGTCGTCAAAGGTCTTAGCAACCATTGCAACAGTAAGTGGAAGGGTTTTAGTGAGCCTTAGTCTAGCCAGGATGTGCTGGGGTCAAATTCCTGATTTGTCCCAATCTCATTAAAATCAGAACTTAGTTTTCGCTACCGCTAACCAAAGATCTGAGGACATCCCATTACAGGTCACGTAACGACCTTTCGCGAACATTGACCGACCAATGAAATGACTGACAAGAAATCGACATTTGCCAATCAGAAGGCAGCTATCTCGAGCTTTACGGCACTAGTTTCAAACTGGCGACTACGCTTCGAAACATATTTTGACGTATTCTTGATTAAAAAATTTAAAACTGACCAAAACAACATTCTGGAATGGATTATAGATGGCCTAGATTGTATGGATTTAATCATAAAACCCGCAACTGTCGTTCAGAATACCCTGTGTTAAATATTTCGAGGTTGCATGATAAGAAAACATATTCCGACATATACATATACGCGATTAAAAATATAAAACTGAACAAAAGAACATCTGGAATGGCTAATAGATGGTCTAGATTGTCGCTTTCAGGATCTGGTAATCGACGCTCTGATTGGTTGGATGAAAGGTCGTGCTGACGTGACCCGTAATGGGATGTCCTCAGATCTTTGTTTAGCGGTAGTGAGATCTAAGATCTGATTTTAATGAGATTGGATTTGTCCCGATTGTTATCCATGGTTTGTCAGCATGCCCATGCTAGTTGGTTTCACCAAAGTGGTCAAAGTCCACATGTAATACCTGTGTCCCTCAACTCCCTCTGTGGTTAGTGGACATGGTTGTTAGAGCCTTCTGTGTCTGAGTGGAGTGCCCATGTTAAACTGCAGCACGGTGTCTCAGTGGGCTTGCACTATAAACTCAGCATAAATCCAGCAACCAGTTTGACTTTGACTCTGTTCATAGTGGTGTGTTTGTCCGGACCATATCTCTAAAACTTATAGGTACTCTTTCTTGAAACGATGCACACACAAAGACTGATGCCTTTTGCTATTTAGAGATTATATATTTTTTCTGTTTCCATGGCAACAAGTTTGATTTTGACTCTTCAAAGTGTTGTGTTTGTCTGGCTAAAAGTAATAGATATTCCAGGTTGTCAACTTGTGCCTTTTGCTATTTAGGGATTTTTTAGAATTTATTTTCTTTCCATTTCCTGTTCTGAATCCCAATTCCATGGTATAGTTTTAATAGCTCAATAACTACTCTTGTATATGGACTGACAGATAGATAGAAATTCTCTCATCAAGTTGGACTTAAGTAACAGTTATATGATTTATATCAAATTTATGGGGCCAGGGTGATTTGTCATCTTCTTCTCTTGTTACACTTTGATATTCAAAACAAAAAGTTTAGTTTGGGATATTTTATCATGATGAAACATTAGTGATGGTTTCTGTTTTACAGCTATCTCCGAGTTCTACCATTTCTGATGTCAAGAAAGCCTTCCAAAGAATTAGTAAGTACAGACCATGAGGTGAATTTAATTCACAAGCTATAGATTAATATAAGGTCTAGCCGCATTACGAGGGATATAAGTGGTTTTATGTGTCCAGTATTAGGTTTTATACCATGAGCCAGAGGAATGTATAAAACCACATGTACCCCTCCTGATACTGCCATAACAAATTTATCTCGCCATCATGTTTTTACCCTGCCATTGTAAGAGTATTAAAACGAATTCAAATTTAATAGAAAACAGCTGTTCGATTGAGCTGAGGTTAACTTGCGTTATGTCTATGATGCCACATGACTTCATCGACTCAGAGCGGTCAGGTAGCCTAGTGGTTAAAGCGTTAGCTCGTCACGCCGAAGACCCGGGTTCGATTCCCGACATGGGTACAATGTGTGAAGCCCATTTCTGGTGTCCCCCGCTGTGATATTGCTGGAATATTGCTAAAAGCGACGTAAGACCATACTCACTTCACTTCACTTCATTGACTCAAAAAGCGTGTATCTTTTTGCTTCGAAGCGGGGTATAAGGGATTTAATGTCCCCATCAGAAATAACATGCAGCCTGTTTCTTCATGGCAGGGTATAAAGGATTTATTATTCCCAATGAGATACATATTATTTTATCAAGATCATGTGAACCTTTCAGATCTCATCACTCTGACATGGAGGTATGATAATACCTTATATAAAACTAAGTAATTAGATGAAAGTGTTTTGTTTATCAGGTTACTTTGGTCACAGTATACATGGTACGGTAACAATATATAATTCTGTGTTTACTTTCAACAGAATCAAAGTATTACCCTGACAGGCAGTCCTTTCGCACCGAACCAAGTGAGTAAAGCATTAAAATTTGTTCATAAAATAATCAAGAATGTTGATCTTAAGAAGTATATTTTTGTAGACACTTTGTACACATGTTCAGCATGTTTCTTGTTGTGGGGGACCGCCTCCGTGGTCTAGTTGTAGAGCATTCGACCCCCGTCCGCGTCATACCAAAAGACGTTAAAAGATGGTACTTGTTGTTACCCTGTCTGGCGCTCGGCATTAAGGGGCTAAAACAAGGACTGGTCGGCTCGGAGTCAGTATACTGTGTCTGAGTGGGATATTCATGTTAAACTGCGGCATCTCAGTGAGCTAGCACTATAAATCGGCATCAGTCCAGACTAGTACAAGCAGCCACACAAACACATACACGTACATGCACGTCTCTATATAAGTGCAATAATCTTGGACGTGACGTTAAACCCCATTTCACCTCACCTTCTTGCTGTGGGAAATGAAAGTATTAAAAATAAATAAACAAGGCTTCCATTTCTTGTATTTCTTATGTCATATGTTTGATAGTTAAGTGAACATGACATTTGCTATCGTGTGTAAACATAGTATAGCTTTGTTATCCCCCGCCGCGCGAAAGCGCGAAGCGGGGGATATAGTATTCACGACCGTCCGTACGTCCGTACGTCCGTCCGTACGTCCGTACGTCCCACCTGTTTGTTGCCGGATATCTCAAGAACTAAACACTGGATTGTCTTCATGTTTGGAACTATGGTGTATATACAGACACCGCAGACACCAGTCGGTTTTGGTGACCTTGACCCCATTTTCAAGGTCACAGCAGGTAAATCTGCTTTTGGAGTTGGAAAACGGTGTTGCCGCGATATCTCAAGAAGTAATCGCTGGATTGTCTTCATATTTGGAACTATGGTGTATATACAGACACCGCAGACACCAGTCGGTTTTGGTGACCTTGACCCCATTTTCAAGGTCACAGCAGGCAAATCTGCTTTTTGAGTTGGAAAACGGTGTTGCCGCGATATCTCAAGAACTAAACACTGGATTGTTTTCATATTTGGAACTATGGTGTATATACAGACTCCGCAGACACCAGTCGGTTTTGGTGACCTTGACCCCATTTTCAAGGTCACAGCAGGTAAATCTGCTTTTGGAGTTGGAAAACGGTGTTGCCGCGATATCTCAAGAAGTAATCGCTGGATTGTCTTCATATTTGGTACTATGGTGTATATACAGGCGGGGGACATTTCGTCACTTCTGTGACAAATACTTGTTTTAAGTGGAACTGTTTTCATTTCAGGGGGCAAATCATTAAAAGATGACCAAACTTTGGAGAGTCTTGGCATGAAAAGCACTGGAGAACTATTCTTCAAGGATCTAGGGCCCCAAGTAAGCTGGACAACAGTAAGTGCATGACTACAAGACAAAACATTGCATTACATTGGGAGGTGGCTTATTTGGCCTATCTCATTAAAATCAGATCTTAGTTCTCGTTACCGCTACACAAAGATCTGAGGACATCCCATTACGGGTCACGTCAGAATTACCTTTCATCCAACCAATCAAGGTGTCGCTAACCAGATCATGAAAGTGACAGTCGGAATGTGTTTTCTCATCATGCAACCTCGAAAACATTAACACGGGGTATTCCGAACGACAGTTACGGCCTGTATGACTGATTCCGTCAAAATTATCATTTATATCCTGCTTCCGTGGGTCAAACATTTGAACGGAGGAGGCGTTGCACAGTACATGGGAAGTACTGTCATACAATTTCTACCATATATTAGACATTCCAGAATGTTCGTTTGTTCAGTTTTCAAAATTTTAAACGAGAACTGTGCCAACATATTTTTCAAGCGTATTCTGAAATGGAAGTCACCAGGTTGAAACGGGTACCGCAAAGCTCGAGAAAGCTGCTTTCTAATTGGCTGACGTTTGTCATTTCAGTGGTTGGTCAAAGTTCGCGAAAGGTCGGTCTGACGTGACCCGTAATGGGATGTCCTCAGATTTTTGTTTAGCGGCAGCTAGAACTAGATCTGATTTTAATGAGATTGCTTATTTGGCAGAAGTCAGGGGAAGCCAGTTTCCTGGGGACAGGTTGTGTTTGTTTACCTTTTTTTTCTAGCAAGAATATTCTTTTTTAATGTTCCTTTGTTTGTCCAGAGTGAAATGAATGTCTTGTGGCATTGTTTTGTTTTTTCAAGAAAATATTGTTCTCCATTTTGTCCAATGGAGATTTTTTTCATTTTTTAAGTCCAAGTCCTGAAAACTAAATCACTTGGAACTAATCTTAGTCTTCTTTTGTATGTGTAGAGGTGTCAGGAAAGAATAGGTTTCTAGAACCTTGTTGTTCAATGGGAATTAGATGGTCACAATGACTTCTCGTTGTGGGGGTGCAGTACTTGGTTGGGCAATCAGGACTTTAGAAAAACAGGATCGGCTTATCACAATGTGTGATCATGGTGATGTGGCTGATTTTGTGTCAACGGGTCCTGCCATTACTGAAGCAATCAAAACCTGCTTTGCCTGGCCAAACTTGATAATTTACAGGGTGTTGTGATACAGGTGATCTGTAAATCTGGAAATTAATGCGTCTCCAAATTAATACGACTGCTGACCCCTAGCCAAAAATGCGACTCAAAATCAATGGTCATTTTTCGCATTTCATTCACACTCACGTTAATTTCAAGATTTACAGTATTGCTGTCAGCAGTTTGATTCAGCATTCACTCATGTCACTATTACCTGTAGGTATTTCTGACTGAGTACGCTGGTCCACTGGCTATCTACCTCGGGTTCTACACACGGCCTGCCATCATCTACGGAGCTGAGGCTGCACTACAACCAAGGGCATTTGTTGTAGAGTAAGTAGCTGCAGCACTCTTCATGCTTACATCTATGGTGAACCTAAATACAAAACCCATGAAGATCCATGTTACAATTGGTCTTCAGCAACCCATATTTGTCGTAATAGGTTCCGAACTAGTTTACTTACCTTAGCTGTGCCAGCATCAGCTGAGCATAGGTTTGAATCCCACATTCGCTCTGATACTGACCTAATTATACTACTCAACATTTGGACCTTTGAAGATCCGGATTAGAATAGGTCTTCAGCAACCCATGCTTGGTTGGCCACTATGCTTGTCGTAAGAGGCGACTAACAGGATCAGGTGATCAGGCTTGCTGACTTGGTTGATGCATGTCATTATATCCAAATTGTGTAAATTGATGTTCATGATGTCAATCACTAGATTGTCTGGTGCAGACTTGATTATGTACAGACATCTGTCATATAATTAGAATATTGCTGAGTGCTGCGTTAAACAAGCATCAAACAGAAAAGCAGTTATTGCAGCATGTATTTTGTAGCTATGGGGACATTTATCTGAACAACAAGATGCAGTGTTTTATATATACTACACAAAACAAGTTAAGGGACACCCACAATTGGAAGGCTGTGTGGTGCAATCCCATCCAGCCATCAACTGTAGTCATATGAAAAACTCAGGTGTTCTTTAACGTCTTAAATATACGTCTAGTATATGTCACTTCTTATTATTGTGACCGCCTCCGTGGTCTAGGGATAGAGCATCAGTCTGGAGAGTGAAAGGTCCAGGGTTCGATCCCCAGGCATGTCATACCAAAAGACGTTAATTGATGGCCTGCCAGGCACTCGGCATTCGGCATTAAGGGGCTAAAACATGGACTGGTTGGCTCGAAGTCAGTATACTGTGGGGTATTCATGTTAAACTGGCATGCCATGATGGTATCTCAGTGGGCTAGCACTATAAAATCGGCATTAATCCAGACTAGACACACACACACACACACACACTTGTGCATGCTCGTCGCTGTATAAGTGCAATAATCTTGGACACGCGGTTAAACCCCATTTCACCCCAGCTCTTTGTATTGTCTTAAACACGTAAATGTTGAACAGAAAGGAGGAACATGCATGTTGTAATCTTTGATAAGAGGGCACTCCCAACACAGGTATTTGCTAAAAAAAGATTGTTAAAAGCATCACAAACTTACATATTCTAGCAACCAGTCACCACACTTCACTCATTCATAGGGGGCACGGGTGGCCCAGTCGTCTAAGGCGTCGCGATTCGCTGTGCAGAGTTGCGTCCCTTGGGCACACCAGAAACCTATGATTGTTGGGTTCGAATCCCAGTTCGCCCCGATTATGTTTCTAGGTTTGTCAGCACCATACCCGTGCTCGTGGTTTTCACCAAAGTGGTAAACGTCTAAGACCTGCATCACTTGGGGCTTTCCTCCCACATTAAGCTGACACGCCGCGATATAACTGTAATACTATTAAAAGCGGCGTAAAACCTCACTCACTCACTCACTCACAGGGAATGTTGCTATGTGACTTGGGGATTCAGTTTGCACATAACATTTACATCACATTCAGCAGTGGTTCAGAGGGAGGGTGGATGCTTCAGACATGAAATTAGCCAGTCCACCATTCCCAAGCTTGTGGTTTATGTACTTCCAGTGTTGCTGCAGCTTGTTGGACATTCCACTACGCCAAACGGCTCTTTGAGACGGTCTTCATACACAGGTTCTCTCACGCCACCATGCCCATCTTCAACATCTTCAAGGTCAGTCATGTACATCTTGTTAATATGTGGATACGAAACTTGCCCTCAAATAAGAAACTTGCCCTCAAATACAAAACGGCCCCCCAAATACGAAACTGCCCCTTAGGCTATATGAATGACTTTACGGCAACCATCTTGGTTTTGCTTTAGGCTGGCAGTTGAGTTACAACATGTATAGTGTTGGCTGATGAATATAAGTGTATATATGAAGAACCTGTGTCTGTCTACTTTAACGCATCTTCCTGAGGCAAGGGAGTTAACTGACTATGTAAGTTCAGTTTCCACCCTCGCCGAACTAGGCTGGAATTTTGAAGTTATGGTTTGGATGGACTAATGAGTCTATACATAGTCCTATTAAAATTCGTAATGAAATTGACATCCAGTTTGGAAACTGCGGTGCAGATTTCATTTGATTGCAGGATTTGCAAAGCATATGAACCGTCAAGTCAGCATTGACAGATATTTTCCAAATCTTTTAAAGTTTATAATCAATCTGCTCACAGGATTTGACGTGTTTGATGCACTTCGCATGGACATAACTCATAATAGCCACTAGTGGTGCTACGATTGAGCCACGAAGTTCCATCCTTGTTCGGCAAGGGTGGAGACTGGACCTTTTTTAGTCAGTTAACTCCCTTACCTCGGGGAGATGTCATGTATCCCTTCAACTCTCATTGATACAGATATCAGTCTCCAAATATGTGATTCTGGCAATAACAAAATGCAAGAATATCTTGGTATTTTTTAGTTTCTATAGGTGTGAAAAATAGAAATTCTAAAAGAATTCTGCTGAAATTGCTTCAACGCAGGAGTTGTTTCTGAGAACCAAGAAAAGGTTTCTTCAAAGATCTGTTATTAGCATTTTCTATTAACTTGTATTCATGGGTAATAAAACATTCCTTTCAGAACTCCATCTACTACTGGGGCTTTGCTGCGTTTGTCGCCTACTTTGTGAACCACCCCCTCTACACCCCCCCAGGTTTGTAGAGAGACTTGAGATGGCTGAGCAAACGTTGAATGATTTGTCGAACATCTTGAGTCAGTGTCTTCTGTTCTTCGTTTCACACACATAAAAGATTAAACATCCTGAACTTTTTATGAAGTGATGAATAGTTGGGTGACTTAACATAATCGTTGTATTAAACGCCCTGCTCCAGTGTGACTAACTTCTTGACTAGTCTATAAGGCTTAAAAAAAATAGAAGAATTGGTTCTCAGGCATTGACTTTTGAAAATATAGTGCGGGCAGGTGTTCTTTTTTTTTCTTTTTTTTCCAGTCATTACCAAATAAATAGTTGTGTACCATCAACCTGGGAAAAAGGACCTCCCCACATTAACAATAAAAAAACCTCCTTTTGCCGCCATGTGTTAAATTGTTTATAAGTGTCAGGATTTTTTAATTTTGGGAAAATGAAAATAAAAACGAATCATGCGGTAGACTTTATGATGATGCGGGCAGTGCCTGAGAACCAAGACTATTGATTTTTTTTAGCCCAAATAATCATGATAACAGTACCCTAATAAGACCGAAAATTGACATGACAGTCTTGACATTTTCTTGTGCATTAGTTTTTGTACAGAAAACAGCAGTGTAGAAAGGGTATATAATTACCTGCCAGCTATTATGGAAAAAAGTTTAGGTTCATCAACGATTGAACTAACTTTGTTCACTACCGTTAGATCTCTGAAAACAAATATAACTGGTGTATGTTATGGAAGTGCCCCTTGGCCAATTTTCCAAGAGCTCAGAGTGCTTATAACAGAGAATATGGCAACTCAAATCTGTTTTGGGGTAACCATATACTAGACTGTTTCTAGAATGTGTCATGAGTCAAGAACTAGAGAGTATTACTATATTATACCACTCAACTGAAGTTAAGCACCCGATTCTTCCATATTACTATACAGGCCCGCTTACTTGGTTGATGCATGTCGTCAATCCCAATTGCGTGGATCGATGCTCATGATGTCAGTTACTGGATTGTCTGGTCCTGACTTAACTGTAGTAATATGAATACAGAATGAAGGATGATAATATACAATATAATTCATCTCAGAATAGGCCTTCAGCAACCCATGCTTGCCCTAAAAGGCGACTATGCTTGTTGTAAGAGGCGACTAACGGGATTGGGTGGTCAGGCTCGCTGACTTGGTTGAAGCATGTCGTCGATCCCAGTTGCGTGGATCGATGCTCATGATGTCAGTTACTGGATTGTCTGGTCAAGACTCCATTATTTACAGACCCCTGTCATATAGGTGGAATATTGCTGAGTACAGCGTTAAACAACAAACTCACTCACTCATATTACTATACTAAATCTATCATGGTTTAACTATAGTAATATGAAGGAATCAGATGTTCTTCAACTTCTTTTGAGTAGTAAGTGTTTAACTACTGTACTGTTAACTTTTGTCAGTGTATGGAGATCTGCAGATCTATGGTGGACTTGCTGCATTTGCTGTAAGTATGAAATACTGAAACGTATAAGACTGAACACTAATGCAATAGTGCACCATATTATCAAACACAACCATGCCATACACAGTCTGTGTAATTAGGTATCGGTGACCTGTTTAACACTTGTCCTTACCCTGCCAGGTGCTCGCACACATCGCTACATGAGTGCAAGAATCTTTAATGCAACGTTAAACCCTGTTTCTCCTCACCTCACCTCACCTCACCTCACCTCACCTCACCTCACCTCACCTCACCTCCATCATTCACATCTTTGCTTCTTCATCCAGTTCTTGGGGCGGTCGGGTAGCCTCATGGTTAAAGCGTTCGCTCGTCACGCCGAAGACCTGGGTTCGATTCCCGACATGGGTACAATGTGTGAAGCCCATTTCTGGTGTCCCCCGCCGTGATATTGCTGGAATATTGCTAAGAGGCGTAAAACCATACTCACTCACTCATCCAGTTCTTAGAGCACATATGTCATTGACCATCATGGAAAATTGACTGGTTTAGGTATGACTTGTCCATCTTCCCGAGGCAGGGAGTTAACTGACTATAAAAGTCCAGTTTCCCTTGCCAAACTGGGCTGGTACATGTATTATGGAGTTACAGTTTGGTTGGACTAACGAGTCTATGTATAGTCCAATCAAAATCGCACACTGAAATCGAAATCCGGCTCGTAAACTGTCGTGCAGATTTCGGTGGATTGCAGGATTTGCAAAGCATGTGCACCGCCATCTCGTTGTAAACAGATATTTTCCAAATCTTTCCATGTTTTTAATCAAGGTGCACACATGATTTGATCACATTTCACGATGTAAGGCCCATTCTATCACAATAGAGATCTTGATTATCGATAGGATCGTCTTGACAAGGCGCCGCCATTTTGTTTGAAGCAAATGCAAGTGATACGAGAGGTGGAATCTGATTGGTCCACAGGAGAGGCATAGAAGGGTGGCGCTAAGATCAAGCCCAGGTATTCCAGCCTAGTTAGGCAAGGGTGGAAACTGGACTTTTAAAGTCAGTTAACTCTCTTGCCTCTGGAAGATGGACTTGTCACATTTGTAAACTCACACGCTATAAAATTTTGTTAACACACATTTTGAAAGGAACATACAAGTTTTTTTAAATCCTGGCTGAAGTACTGTAGGTAGCAAAATGTTTGCATATTCTGATCTCTGATATGATTAATGTGTCAGCAGACAAAAACGCAATTCTGTTATATATGCCTTTAACAGTGCAAAAATACAGAATACCTGTGCTGCATGTGTTTTGAATGTACACAGTTGACATGTTTGATATTTCAGTTTGCTGAGCTGGGCAACCTGTCAATCCACCTTGCCCTCCGGAACCTCCGCCCTGCAGGTAGGTATTCAGGTCATGATAGATGATAGACTCACAACCCATGCTCGATCCTAGCACTTACCTTAGCTGTGCCAGGATCAGCTGAGCATAGGTTTGAATCCCACATTCGCTCTGATACTTACCTCATTATACTACTCAACATTTGGACCTTTGAAGATCCGGATTAGAATAGGTCTTCAGCAACCCATGCTTGCTTGGCGACTATGCTTGTCGTAAGAGGCGACTAACAGGATCGGGTGGTCAGGCTCACTGACTTGGTTGATGCATGTCAGAGTATCCCAGTTGCGTGGATCGATGCTCATGTTGTCAATCACTGGAATGTCTGGTCCAGACTCGATTATTTACAGACCACCGTCATATAGCTGGAATATTGCTGAGTGCTGCGTTAAACAACAAACAAACATTCTATGAGCAAGACGCTGACAGGCCTAAAATCTAACTGTGATTAATATGGGATCAGAACCTCTAGCAGATCCTCACCAGACCATTGGACACGGCTCTGTAGTGTGATATGGGTCATCTTTACTGCCACTTACATGGATCGATTCCTCTCACACTTATAGTTTGACTACAAAATCCACCTCTACTTGCATTGATCCATCCTGTAAATCTATCAGCGTTAAATGACAACAAACAAACAAACAAACAAACAACTCAACATTTGGGAAGGACACACCTTTGACTAAACATGACTATTTTGGTCCTTAGCAAATATTGATTAGCATGTAAGTTTATCACTCTGGACTTTCCTCTCGCATTAAGCTGACATGCTGTGACTGTCGACTATCCTCTCGCAATACGCTGACATGCGGTGACTCTCAACTTTCCTCACGCATTAAGCTGACATGCTGTGACTCTCGACTTTCCTCTCGCAATAAGCTGACATGCGGTGACTCTCGACTTTCCTCTCGCAATAAGCTGACATGCTGTGACTCTCGACTTTCCTCTGGCATTAAGCTGACATGCTGTGACTCTCGAATTTCCTCTCGCAATAAGCTGACATGCGGTGACTGTCGACTATCCTCTCGCAATAAGCTGACATGCTGTGACTCTCGACTTTCCTCTCGCATTAAGCTGACATGCGGTGACTCTCGACTTTCCTCTCGCATTAAGCTGACATGCGGTGACTCTCGACTTTCCTCTCGCAATAAGCTGACATGCTGTGACTGTCGACTATCCTCTCGCAATAAGCTGACATGCTGTGACTCTCGACTTTCCTCTAGCAATAAGCTGACATGCGGTGACTCTCAACTTTCCTCTCGCAATAAGCTGACATGCTGTGACTCTCGACTTTCCTCTCGCATTAAGCTGACATGCGGTGACTGTCGACTATCCTCTCGCAATAAGCTGACATGCGGTGACTCTCAACTTTCCTCTCGCATTGAGCTGACATGCTGTGACTCTCGACTTTCCACTCGCATTAAGCTGACATGCTGTGACTCTCGACTTTCCTCTCGCAATAAGCTGACATGCGGTGACTCTCAACTTTCCTCTCGCATTAAGCTGACATGCTGTGACTGTCGACTTTCCTCTCGCATTAAGCTGACATGCTGTGACTCTCGACTTTCCTCTCGCATTAAGCTGACATGCGGTGACTCTCGACTTTCCTCTCGCATTAAGCTGACATGCTGTGACTCTCGACTTTCCTCTCGCATTAAGCTGACATGCTGTGACTCTCGACTTTCCTCTCGCATTAAGTTGACATGCTGTGACTCTCGACTTTCCACTCGCATTAAGCTGACATGCGGTGACTCTCGACTTTCCTCTCGCAGTAAGCTGACATGCGGTGACTCTCGACTTTCCTCTCGCATTAAGCTGACATGCGGTGACTCTCGACTTTCCTCTCACATTAAGCTGACATGCGGTGACTCTCAACTTTCCTCTCGCATTAAGCTGACATGCTGTGACTCTCGACTTTCCTCTCGCATTAAGCTGACATGCGGTGACTCTCGACTTTCCTCTCGCATTAAGCTGACATGCTGTGACTCTCGACTTTCCTCTCGCATTAAGCTGACATGCGGTGACTCTCAACTTTCCTCTCGCATTAAGCTGACATGCTGTGACTCTCGACTTTCCTCTCGCATTAAGCTGACATGCGGTGACTCTCGACTTTCCTCTCGCAATAAGCTGACATGCTGTGACTCTCGACTTTCCTCTCGCATTAAGCTGACATGCGGTGACTCTCAACTTTCCTCTCGCATTAAGCTGACATGCTGTGACTCTCGACTTTCCTCTCGCATTAAGCTGACATGCTGTGACTCTCGACTTTCCTCTCGCATTAAGCTGACATGCGGTGATGTGAATGAAATACTGCTCAATGTGTCATAGCTCACTCACTAATGAGTACAGCCACTTTGTGTTGAATAGGAAGGAAAGGTGCATGGTAAGGATTTGAGTATCATACTCAAAAGAATGAAGTGTTGTGCTCCAGTAAGCTCCGACCACGTTAGCAAACATTAGCATATTGAGTGAAATGGGAACAAAACAATCTGTGTCTTTAGTCTCAAGTCCAAAGCCTGAAAACAAAAGATGCTGTAGTTTTCTGCAGTGTTAATAAAATGTATCCTTACTTGATATACTTGTGACCCATGGTATGAATGTACTTTCTAATTCCAGGGTCCAAAGTGAGAAGAATTCCGTACCCAACGGCCAACCCGTTCACATGGCTGTTTGGGTTTGTGTCTTGTCCCAACTACACATACGAGACGATGGCCTGGGTCGGTTTTACTGTCATGACACAGTGTCTGCCAGGTAGGTTGTACACTCACACTGACAGGTCACGTGTCTCCCCTCATGAACTGTGTCTGTCAGGTAGGTCACAGTGACATGACACAGTCAGGTAGGTCACAGTGACATGACACAGTCAGGTAGGTCACAGTGACATGACACAGTCAGGTAGGTCACAGTGACATGACACAGTATCTATCAAGTAGGTCACAGTGACAGTATTAGCAAGGATCAGTTGGCAAGGCTTGTGGATTTCACCAAGTGCAGTAAAATGATTAAGGGGTCCACTCTCCATTACTTGGTCTCTTGCCATACAGGGCTTGTTGAAGTGAAATAATTAGAACAAAACATGCACACTACAAGAAATGAAGTATTAACTGTCCCAGGTTATTTACGTGTGTAACATCCAATGGAAATTCACAGGAGACAGCTAACACATAGTTCCTCTTTCTTTGTACGTATTGAACAGTTATATGTGTGAGACTGTCCCAATGTGTGAGACTGTCCCAATGTGTGTGAGACTGTCCCAATGTGTGAGACTGTCGCAATGTGTGTGAGACTGTCCCAATGTGTGTGAGACTGTCCCAATGTGTGTGAGACTGTCCCAATGTGTGAGACTGTCGCAATGTGTGTGAGACTGTCGCAATGTGTGTGAGACTGTCGCAATGTGTGTGAGACTGTCGCAATGTGTGTGAGACTGTCCCAATGTGTGAGACTGTCCCAATGTGTGTGAGACTGTCCCAATGTGTGTCAGGCTGTCCCAATGTGTGTCAGACTGTCCCAATGTGTGTCAGACTGTCCCAATGTGTGTCAGACTGTCCCAATGTGTGTCAGACTGTCCCAATGTGTGACAGACTGTCCCAATGTGTGTGAGACTGTCCCAATGTGTGTGAGACTGTCGCAATGTGTGTCAGACTGTCCCAATGTGTGTCAGACTGTCCCAATGTGTGTCAGACTGTCCCAATGTGTGTGAGACTGTCCCAATGTGTGTCAGACTGTCCCATTGTGTGTCAGACTGTCCCAATGTGTGTCAGACTATCGCAATGTGTGTGAGACTGTCCCAATGTGTGTGAGACTGTCCCAATGTGTGAGACTGTCGCAATGTGTGTGAGACTGTCGCAATGTGTGTGAGACTGTCCCAATGTGTGAGACTGTCCCAATGTGAGACTGTCCCAATGTGTGAGACTGTCGCAATGTGTGTGAGACTGTCCCAATGTGTGAGACTGTCCCAATGTGTGTGAGACTGTCCCAATGTGTGTGAGACTGTCCCAATGTGTGAGACTGTCCCAATGTGTGTGAGACTGTCCCAATGTGTGTGAGACTGTCCCAATGTGTGTCAGGCTGTCCCAATGTGTGTGAGACTGTCCCAATGTGTCAGACTGTCCCAATGTGTGTCAGACTGTCCCAATGTGTGTGAGACTGTCCCAATGTGTGACAGACTGTCCCAATGTGTGTGAGACTGTCCCAATGTGTGTGAGACTGTCGCAATGTGTGTGAGACTGTCGCAATGTGTGTGAGACTGTCCCAATGTGTGTCAGACTGTCCCAATGTGTGTCAGACTGTCCCAATGTGTGTGAGACTGTCCCATTGTGTGTCAGACTGTCCCAATGTGTGTCAGACTGTCCCAATGTGTGTCAGACTGTCCCAATGTGTGTCAGACTGTCCCAATGTGTGTCAGACTGTCCCAATGTGTGTCAGACTGTCCCAATGTGTGTGAGACTGTCCCAATGTGTGTGAGACTGTCCCAATGTGTGTCAGACTGTCCCAATGTGTGTCAGACTGTCCCAATGTGTGTCAGACTGTCCCAATGTGTCAGACTGTCCCAATGTGTGTCAGACTGTCCCAATGTGTGTCAGACTGTCCCAATCACAAGTGGAGTCATCAACTCATTCTATATCTATTGCTGAACAAAGTCACGTTAAGTATTCCACGACACGAACAACTAAGGATGTCCTCTTCAATTATTCGTGACAATGTGTTGACATATGAAATTCTTTTGGCTGATTCAGACAGCAAAACAATGGAACAATCAACTAGCCAATCAGTGTCAAGCATAAATAAGATGCTCTGTGTAGCTTACCGAAGATAATTTTGCCAATACCCATCCCCCTCTTGGTGATGTTCCTGTATGACAGCATGTTGTGATAATACAAATATTGAAATATTATGCAATTTCAGCGGGTCTGTTCACCCTGGCTGGGTTCTACCAGATGACTATGTGGGCGTTCGGCAAACATCGAAACTACCGCAAGGATTTCAAGGACTATCCACGGGGAAGAAAACCAATTCTCCCCTTCCTTTTGTAGATAGTCGGCTCAACTTTCATTGCACATTTATCACAAACATATCTCATCACTAACCAAGCATAAAGGAAGGATGTTCACGTGTCACTTTTAGTTGGATATCAGTTCAGATTTTTCTGTGCAGTAAATATCCTTGAGCCAACTTGCATTGAATTGCAAAAAAATAGAATTAATCTCCTATGATATTAGATAATATTAGTTATACATCTAAAAGAATGTAGACTTGAATTACTTTTTAATGTCTTGAGAGTGGGATGTTAGAACATCATCTCTTTCTTTGTTTATATGGATCAAAATATGTGACAGATTTCTAGATGAAATCTCGCCATCCATGTCTGTTCTGTTTTAGATGTGTCATAACCCTGACCGCATTTTTACTTTGTATATCTTGTGTTGTGAAATAAAATCTTGCTCTCATCTGCACAAGTTATTCTGATGTCTGTTGAGTGCTGTGAACCCTATTATGAAGGTGAATTTACAATAGTTATAACATTTGACCCTGTAGAGATTCCTGGTGAGAGTAGATCCCCAAGCAACCTATGCTCATATATCAATCACTGGTTTGTCTGATCTCGACTTGATTATGTACAGGGTGCTGTGATATCACAGGAATAGTGTGTTATACAACAACCAATCTTTGTTTGTGGGGCTAAATCAGCAACTAGATGTACATCCTCCCAAGGCAAGAGAGTTAACTGACTTTAAAAGTCCAGTTCCCACCCTTGCCGAACTAGGCTGGAATTCCTCGGCTCGATCGTAGTGCCACCAGTGGTTATTACGAGTTATGTCTCTTCTAAGCCTCTCCTATGGACTATTCAAATTCCACCTCTCGTATCACTTGCATTTGCTTCAAACAAAATGGTGGCACCCAGTCAGGACGATCTGATCAAAACTCAAGATCTATATTGTGATAACACGGGCCTTACACCGCGAAGTGCATCAAATCACGTGATCACCTTGATTAAAAACATGAAAAGATTTGTAAAATATCTGTTGACAACGAGTTTGCGGTACATATGCTTTGCAAATCCTGCAATCACCGAAATCTGAACGACAGTTTACAAACCGGATTTCGATTTCGTTGCGCGATTTTGATTTGACTATGCATAGACTCGTTAGTCCAGCCAAAATGTAACTCCATAATACCAGCCTAGTTCGGCAAGGGTGGAAACTGGACTTTTATAGTCAGTTAACTCACTTGCCTCGGGAAGATGCTAGATGTATGGAAGTTGAAGGATTACCAGATATCACAATAAGGCTAAAAATGTTTTGGTTCTCGGGAACTGCCCGCATCATCATGAAATCTGCTGCACGTTCTGTTTTTATTTCTATTTTTTTTTGCGATCCAATATAGCATTCAGTTACTTCCCTTTAATGCGCACTGCTTTACTGTGCATCCCGTGTTATGGTCATGGCGGCAATGGGAGTTTTTTATGCTTCTTTATGTAGGGAGGCCCTTTCCCAGGTTGATGTACACAACTGTTTATTTGGAAAGTTTTGATAATTACTATCCTGGACACAAGGACGAATCCATCACTGAGTTACATTTATTGCAGTTTTGACATAAACAAATGTCAACAAATGTTTGGTGCTTGTCGACCGCTGTCGGGCAGCATGGATTTGTTGTATAATGTGTGTTATATTACACTGCATACTGTTTGACCCATAGACGTATTACTAAAGCCGTTTCTATACTCTGTAGACAAGTCATATATCTTTAACTAGGCAAGAAAGACCCAGCCAGGGCAGAGCACTGTTGTAAAATAACTGTCTTTTCTTACATAGGATTCAATACTGATTTTGCAGCATAGCTAGAAAAAAATGAAATGCTCTGATCCAGTGGGTGTTCATTAGGGTCACATGTAGTACAGTTATAATGTACTCCAACTATACAATACAACAGTGTTGCTAGAGCTGCAAGTACCTTCTGTTCCCCATGGGGATTCCCAGTTACAATTGATCCTCACAACCTATGCTGGTCGTAACAGGTGACTAAATGGATCGTAAGTTCAGGCTCGGTGACTTGGTTGATGGAGCATCATTGTGCCCTGATTGCGTGGATTGCTGCTCACAATATCAATCACTGGATTGTCTTGTCAAGTCTTGATTATTTACAGGCAGCTGTCATATAGCTGGAATATTATCAAGTGCAATGTTAGAAAACAAACACACACGTAGTTACCTCCAGATTTACACAGCTGCAATTCCTGGCCCTTGAGTTGAAAGTGAGTTGGGTTTAACACCGCTTTTAAGATTATTCCAGTTATATCACGGCGTGTCAGCTTAATGTGAGAGGAAAGCCCGAAGTGATGCAGGTCTCAGACGTTTACCACTTCGGTGAAACCCAAGAGCATGTGTATGATGCTGACAAACCTAGAAACATAATCGGGGCGAACCAGGATTCGAACCCACAATCATAGGTTTCTGGCATGCCAAAGGGACACAACTCTGCACAGCGAATCACAGCGCCTTAGATGACAGGGCCATCCATGCTCCCAGTTGAAAATGAACAGCAATGTTTGCATAAACGGATTTTGTATCTTAACAAAGATAAAACGACTACATTACTATTCAATGCTTTATTTCACAATGCTGATGTATAGAATAAAATGTGTATAATTCCTCGGTAATACTTCATTCAAAGTGAATGTACATGGATGGAAAAATTCATATGTGTAGAGTAAATTCCTATTTCAATTCAATTTCATAAAAGAAAAGTTTAAAAGTGTTTGGACAAAAACGCTTATGTAAAAAATGCCAGCTTGTGACCAAAAATAAATACTTCAATGTGTTTAATACATTTCATGGGACGGAACCAGATAATATGACACCATAGAAGCACAAATATGAATACTATATCACAGCTATTGTTTGTAACTTCATATACAAATACAGACGGACTCCATTAAAATTGCAGGCAACATATTTGTTCAATATTAGACTGACAGATGTGCAATTTGTATCAATTTATCAACACAAACAGCGTCTTCAATATACGTAATAAATAAAAAATAAGAACAAAACAGCATTAAAAATAATTAAAACCTGTCCAAAATATTTATTTTAACTGACTTCAAATTATATATATATATATATATATATATATCCATTTCTGTTAAGCTATGAAATTTACATTTTTTTGTCACCACACAATAATTACTTTCATTTGAAAATTATGATATTTTAACAAAGATACTTTGGTTGCTATATATTTACAACTGCTAGGAAATGTTAAATTTACAATATCACAGACGGGTCAATCAATATCACACTGCCCCTGTTAACGGTTGTAATTTGGTGCCTGACGGGGGCCGTGATCCCATCTCAATGTCACTCATTTCGTTTCTTAATCGCCTGATCTCAAACCTCTGCATGTCAATAATCTTCAGCTTTTCTTCCAGATCTCTCACCATGAGGGCGCTGGGGTTTTTGGCAGTGATCTGGGCAAGGGTGGCTGTGTCGGCCTTCTTGTTGTTTTTGCTGTGAAGGCCAAGAACTGCCTCAAGGTCATGGATGCTTGTGCGGGCTATCTTCAGCTCTCGCCTCAAGTCGTTTATTTCCTTGATGAGGGACACGTTTTCCTAAAAAGAGAGATCATTTTAGTATGGATTGAATGTTGTTTTACGGTGTAATATTTTGTCAATATCATAGTGGTATGTGAATAACTGGTGATAAACCACAATATTTCACAATCCAGATGTTAGTTGTGTGAGTGAGTGATAATGGTTTTATACTGCTTTTAGCAATATTCCAGCTCTGTCAGGTCCTGGGCCCAGAAATGCGTTTCACACATTGTACTCATGTGGGGAATCGAACCCAGGCCTTCGGTGTGATGAGCGAACGCTTTAACCACAAGGCTACCCCATTACCCCTGATATCTTCCTGAAGCTAGGGAGTTAACTGACTATAAAAGTCCATTGGACTTTTAAAGTCAGTTAACTCTCTTGCCTCGGGAAGATGCCCTGATATTAGTTGATGGATACCATGAGCAACAACCGATGTCATGGTGTAGGATAACACAAAATCAGACAGGTCACACATTACACCCAATCCAATCTTTTATTTAGTCAGTTCTTGTTACAATCATGGTTTACAACATGGGGACCTATTAGAAAAATTCTTATGTGTACTGGCAAGCAATCGTCTGGATTGCAATTTCTTTAATTATTCCAGCTATATGACAGTGGTCTGTAAATAATCGATTTGAACCAGACAATCCAGTGATTGACATCATGAGCATCAATCACGCAGTTGGGATACAGTGACATGTGTCAACCAAGTCAGCGAGCCTGACCACCCGATCCCGTTAGTCGCCTCTTACGACAATCATATGTTGCTGAGGACCTATTCTACCCTGGATCTTCACAGGTCTGTTAAAGTAAGCGAGTGAATTGTGTTTAACACAGCTTTGAACAGTTATTCACTTATATCACAATGTGATTTGAAATTTGAAAGAGGGAAACAGTGTAAAATAGAAGAAAAAACACTAGTGTGGTGCTTAGTGGACAGGGTGAACAGTGCCCCCAAGAAGAAATACAACACTGTATATTGATGGCAAAAAAGTGTCCATCCATTCATGTGTGTTTGTACGTACCTGCATGATCCGGACATTATCAGCCTTGTGGATCTCGGAATCCTTCTCCAGCTTCTTCCGGAGCGAGGCAACGGATCTCTCCAGGTGCTCCCGCTGTCTGCTGTACTCTTTCTGAATATCTGCATCCACACTGGCTGACTCCGTCTGCACAAGAGGACAAGCAACATATGGAGACTTTATACTAGACTGACATAAAATCATTTTATTTAAAAATAAATATAATCTACGAAATAAAAAGAATTAAAAAATCCAAATGGAGCACAGAACAATCCTAGAGCTGAGGCAATCTAGACTTGCCAAATCATTTTGGACTTGAGTTGGACTCCTTTTTTCATTCAATCTTGAGTCTGGGAGACAGACTAACTTTATTCTGACCACCGGCTTCATACAATTGTTCCTGAACTCCACAGATGATGCAAGCTGAGAATGCTTGGTTTGTTTGTTTGTTGTTTAACGCCACACTCAGCAATATTCCAGCTATATGACAGCGGTCTGTGAGTAATCGAGTCTGGACCAGACGATCTAGTGATTGACAACATGAGCATCTATCCACGCAATTTGGATCGATGACATGCATGAACCAAGTCAGCGAGTCTGACCACCCGATCCCGTTAGTCCCCTCTTACGACAAGCATAGTCGCATGGGTTGCTGAAGACCTATTCTACCCCGGATCTTCACGGGCTGAGAATGCTTGGTGATAACATGCATAATTATGATCAACATCACTAATCATAATCAAACAGAAAAACATGCACTGCCTGTATCTGTGAAAAGACCCTGACATGAAGTATACTTCAAGTATATGCACACACAGGCTTTTCCTC